AAGAAGCCTCGAGTTTTATAAACACACCGGTTTCGATACATTATTTTTCGTGGCTGTATTTCAAAGGGATTCACGGTTCGACGTCGATATCGCTCTTTACGCAACACGATTTTTCAAAGGAGAGAAAGAGAAGAATGGAAAGGTTTTGGTTTTTCAACGAGATTACAACGCCGTGTTTTGCACGGCAGGCATTCCATTTGCCGAATATCCAGAATTTTCTATTTCGGCCCCTATCTAATCTCGAGATAATCTCTTATCTATTTTATTTCCTTCGTTCTCGGTTGAACACGCATTGAAACTCTATCCATCTGTCTGTCCTGTGTTAACGTTGATCGTTCGCCTCGCTCGAGCAGCGTTTAAGAGGAGTCATGGATAATTGTTTTGACCAACACTGCGAACGGAAAAGGAAGATAATAAAACTCGAGCTCTCTTGGATATGAGCGAGGATCCTTCTTCTTCCGTCTTCTTTCAGCTTTTTAATTTATCGTTTCTTTTTCCTCTCTCTCTCTCTCTTTAGAAAAAAAGAGAATCATTCCCGCAATTTTTCATCCGTCGAAAAAACCTCCATTCCTGTCGAAGAGAGAAAGTTAAAAGAGGAGGGAAGAGGGGAGGAAAATATACCCGTATCCATATCGCAACCTCGACAAACAATAAAACAATAGAACAAATGGAAATCGGAGATGTAGCAAGTTATCGGTCCGCGTGCATGGGGCTAAGCAACGTGTTTTTCATCCGAAAAAAACGGCATTTACGCCCCCTTCCCCTCCTGCTATGTTCCTCTTGAGCAGAAGTTTCGCGAAAACAAATCTTTTCGAAGAAGAAAAAAAAAAAAAAACGGTGTATCATTTCTCCTCTCCCCTTTTTCATCGCGTATATATATAGAAGGAAACAAGAGGTTTCCTTTGGAAATCAACCTAAAATAAATTTAAAAATCCCGATTAAACGATCGCGAGAGAATCTTGACCATGAATTTCTCCTCTCCCTTTTTTCATCATATATATACATAAAAGGAAGCAGGAGGGAGAAGAAATTTCCGTTTGCTTTGAAAAAAATTCGAGGAACTATTTCTTTTCAGAATCATTCCAAGAAAATAAATCTCTTATATATCAACAACATCCAAGAAAGGAAATCGTGAATAAAATAAATTTAAAAATTGTACCAGTTCCATCGCGAGTTGCAGAACGCGGAAGAGTAGTCTGGAAATAAAGTGGCGAAAGGTTAAAGCGATCAAGATATATATGATTAGCCTGGCCTGGCATGCGAATACATAAAGGATTCAACGTTTCTTGGCGGAGAGGTGTCCCCTCTCTCGATTCATTGTCAGCCGTTATGGTTGCAGGATAACGCAGGCAGGCCGAGGGGCACCGCAATGCAGGCAAGGGCGTTGTCAGGGGCGACCATAAAGGCTGATTCGCGCGGAACCAACCGGCTCGAACCGTGTCCAACCTGGAGCTAGGTGTAACTGGTTCCCCGCGGTTCTATCGATCCCCGATTTCGACTGGAAACACGCCTCCTCCGGCCAGCGGTTAGTTCTATCGATCCACACACACCCCCGATGATGGATGACGACTCGAAGGTTTTCTCGGCCAATTTTCGGATTGATCCTCGAGGACGGACTCCAGGGATACTTTTCCATTCTGTTCTCTGGAGAATAAATTTGAATTAATAATAACGATTATTTACTTTTTTACTCTTTCGAGGAGGGGAAAGTTTGGGAAGAAATGAAAATACAGCCTCCTCCAATTTAATAGAAAAGGATAGAAACATTTTACTCGAGCAACGTTTTCTTCTAATCTTCCAATCTTCTATACCATATGTATATATGTATATATATGGCAGACAGAAGATCGCCACAACTCGTCGTTGATGATTCAGGATGAATTATAAGAAACTCGTCCCATTTTCTTGGATCGTTTAAATCGTTTGAATCGCGGGGAAAAAGGGCAGGTTCGAGGATGGAAGGAGGTCTCTTTCAGGTTGGAAGGGAAGGCGTAATTAGGCGTCCAAGTTCTAATGGCGCGTTGAGAAGGAGCAACCTCCCCCTCCTCGCGAGATTAATGGATCGAGGAGGGAAATATTCAGGGAATTAAGTGGAGTAACTTAACTCGAGCGCGCGAATTTCGTTGTTACAGTTGATCTGGAATATAACGTTCCAATTCTTTCTTTCTGGAGAAGGGAGGAAAGATCCCTCTCGCGATAGGAGATTGTTTTGTAATCGATCCTCCAAGAGTTAACGAGGAATGGTCGGGAAGTAATAGATAGTCTCAGCCGAGATTTCAAGACGAGAATCGTTTAAAAATTCATCCGATTTCGATCGAACGTGTCTGTTCTCAAAAGTTAGTTGTTTCTTATCTTTTCTCAGAGAACGTATTCTCGTTGGAACGAAATTATTATGGAAATTTTCGAAAGTATTTTCATAATGATATACAGAATTCTATTTACCCTCGATTAGTAAGGTTAAACGGTTAAGATCGATGTAGCACACGTTTTCCTACTGGCATTTGCTTCTTACTTTTCGAGAGTATGCAGGTACTTAAAATAATTGGCAGGCGGAGCGGGTAGGGCACCACTGGTAATCTCCATAATTACGTTCAATAACCGCTCATTAGAAAATATCTAATCAAATTCCGTCATCCGCGACGGTAAATTCTCCGTAAGAACGAACCTTGCGAGATTCGAGGAATTGGATAAACGATATCGTTGGAGAAAGAAGAGGGAAGAAGAATTTTCACGAAACACGTTTGGTGAAACGTGATGTCAGCGATATCGTACGATATATTTAATCGATTCGAAAATAGAAACCAAGTAATTATGTGACAATTTTTCACGATGCAATGGTCTCGTCTCGTCCCTGCACGAGGACGAGTCGAATCGTTTACATTTCCAATCAACTTAATTTTCTGATCACGAGATTTCACCGTGTTATTACCGGATGACTCCGGTTGCCCTCTCGATTAAAACGACCCAACCGATTGATCGTCCTCCCCATTGCTTCCACTTCGCTTCTGTTTCTGCACCACGAAAGCGTTATCGAAAATTATCCCGATTACCCTCGTGTTAATTTCGAGATCGAAGCTGATCCCACGCAGAATCCTTCTTCCAAGGATTCTGAGAGTTTCGTGTTGAATAATTCTTCTTCCCCTTTTTAACTTTTATCTATAACCGAAAGTGAAAATTTCTCGCGATCTTTGCGATTATTTATAATGATAAAACGTGCAGATCAGTGTGCCGCCACTGCCAGTCATGAAAATTATTTATTTCCTTTTTTTTACGATCTGAATATTTGAATACCGAAGAGGTGGAATTTCTTGTTATAACATAAAATTAGCCCTTTTCTAAAAAAAAAAATCCTGGCCACCGAATATGCCAATTTCACAAAATATGTTATATAGGTACGTCGATCGACAAACCGAATAAAATTCTTTCGATTCATCTTATTGATTAGCGCGCCGCCAAATTTTTAAATTGTCAAAAGGTTGAGAACCACTGGCGCGGACAATTCTTTCGATCCATCTTGTTGATTAGCGTGCAGCCAAATTTTTAAATTGTCAAAAGGTTGAGAACCACTGGCGCGGACAATTCTTTCGATTCGTCTTGTTGGTCAGCGTGCGGCCAAATTTTTAAATTGTCAAAAGGTTGAGAACCACTGGCGCGGACAATTCTTTCGATTCGTCTTGTCTGGTCAGCGCGCCGCGAAAAGTGTTGCCGTGACGAAGGAAAGGTTGAGAACCGCTGTACGATGTAGATAATTACGCAAAATTAATATATAACAATAATCAAATTCAGCCAGAGAAACATTGCACGCATTTGTAATTATTTCTGCGATGTCGTTGGCTCCAGTTTTAATCCTCCTCCTCCTCTCCCCCCCCCCTCCCAAATTTCCCCCTCCAACCAAGCTCGTGTAAATATTTCCGACGGAATTAACATTAATATATTATCGAGATATAATTACGCGCTTTGGTTTAATCGGTACGCAATTTCAATCACGCTACGATACGCTTCCACGTATAAATAAATATAAACGTGTCGTTAATTCTGTTGCTCCAACAGAAGCAACAGAAGCTTAGAAGACCCATCCTTTCAAGCGGATAGAATCGAGGGCGATTCCTCTGCTCCTGGCTTGGTGGCCCACGCATCACCATCCATTGTGCGTGCTTTTAACCGCTCCACGATCGATTTATGCCAGGATCGCTTTGATCGCCTCTCGCGTCCTAATTCCCCTCCCCCCCTCCCCTCCCTTCGTACGTTGAATGGTCAAATAGAAAGAGTCGAACGAGATTCACACCTCGAAAAAAGGTGTCCTCTAATCAAGAGGTGTGTTCTCTTCGAAGGAGGACAGGAACGGGATTGGAAGAAGTTTCACCCAACTGTTTCAAAGGAAGAAGAACCCTCTTATCGTTCGAATTGGAAAAAGTCATTTCAGAAAGAAGAAGTATATATTTTTGACAAGCCTTCTACTACTTCCAGTTCCCCGAGAAAAAGTCGCGTCGAAATATAGCCGAAGTTTTAATATAAATTTTGAGGTTATGATGATTATAAAATAATTGGAATTACATCGATTTTAGTAAAATATTTCCTTTTGTATTAAATAAGCAACGTTTCGTCATAACGGAAGAGTCGATTGAGCTTATTTAAATTCTTGATCAAACCACCCGCTTATATATCATTTCTTCCTCGATTACTCGGATTTATAAATGGAATTCCACCGCACGTTATAACGTCGTCCCGTGCGTAAATTCATACATCGAGTAAGTCTTGGTGTAGCGCGAGGTTTGTCGCAACCGGTGCCAACTTCTCTCGTCCCGTTGACTTAATTTATCCTTTATTTTAAGCGCGACTCGCGTGCAAATGGCACATGTTTCGTTCAACTTCTGGTTTCGAGCACTCTTTTGGCCGATTCTATCAAAAAAATTTGTGCAAAAGTCGTTTGAACGAGAAAAAGATAGATCCCAAGATTTTTAACTTCTAATTGATCTGATTCTTTTTTTTTTTTTTTCTAGGTCGATCTGAAGCCCCTTAGGGAGGCGACGATCGCCGTCCCGACGCCCAAGATCTCCGAGAAGCGGAAGGCGGAGGAGGCCGACGCCAGCAAGGACTTGAAAAAGGTAAGTTTTTCAAAAACTCGATTTCTTCTCGAGATTATCACGTTTTTGATAATTCTTACTTCGCACATTTCCACTTTTCTACGCAATTTAAAAATGTTCGTGATAAATTTCTATTCTATTCGAAAAACGGATTGAAAAGAGAAGAAAAAGAAGAGATCTGGTTAACGCAGAGCCCCATTTTCAAGCCGTCGATCATATCGTTATATCGTCGAACGATACGATAGCGCTTCCAACGAAACCGAGAATTTTCTTCGAGTACACACCTCCTTTAATCGTTGTTGTTGTTATTTTTATTACTGGATCGAGGAGAGTTATAAGCAGAATTGTCGAAGCGAGTTTTAAAGTTATCCAAAGAAAGATTGGAGGAAAAAAATTGAACGATCAACGGGGAGGGCGAAGCTTTGAAAATTGTGTGTCGCTATTTTTTCCTTTTTTTTTTTTTTTTTCAATTATCAAACTTTTCTCTCCTTTTGTTCACTCTCCCCTTCGTAATTAAGGTCGTTCTAATTAACTCCTCTTTTTTATTTTGTTCCGTGCGAGCATAACGGCCGTTGCATGGAATTACAATATTTTTTTCCCCTTCTTTCTTCACCGACGAATTTAATTTCAATTAATTTCCCCCCTCGAACGAATTCTCGAACGGATGAATAAGATTCGAGTTGGATCGAGTTCGAAGAATAAGAAGAAAGTGCTCAAAGTATGGAAGAAAATCGGCAAGATGTTTGGATAATTCTTTACACATTGTTCGCGGTTAGTGGAGAAGGAAGGAAGGGCGAGGCACAATGGAGTTCTAATGCTAAATCGGGGTAATGAATTTCTCGACGAGCGAATTGCTGACCGAGCACGGAGGGTGCTCAAACAGAACAGTTTTCGAGAATAGGTTCGAAGGTGTTTGACTTGAGGAGACTTAACTTCCTCCAAACTTGAATTGGGGGAACGAAAACGAAAAAATTCAATTCCCTCGACACGGTTAATAAATCATCTAGGAACAAAATGACGTTCGTTTCTTTCGCGTATATTTTAACTTGGAAAACACGAATCGATCGAGCGAAAACACGGGAGGAGAAAAACAGAAGAAGAAGAAAAGAAAAAAGAAAAAAAAGAAATTCCCTTCGTTTCGCTAATTTCCACGCTGCTGCGAATTAAATCCGTGCCGAGCAACAGAGAGGGCGACGAGTGGATAATTCACCGTCTGTTGTTTGTTTTTTCAATGTCGGACCAAGTTTGCCAGAGCTCAGAGGCGAGATCCACTTCGAAATTAATTGCTGAAGGTAGCGCTTAAAGTCTTAAACCGAGACCGCTTTGCCCGGCGGGGAGAAACACTTTGTTAATCCGCCATTAATCTACGCGTCCCATCGGATTCGAAATAAATTCGCACGGCTTCGAATTCGAGCCGATGCAATCGCACGATTGGCGACCGACCACGAACGAGTCAATTTCGACGACGAGTTTCTTCGATTGGTCGACGGGTGGACAGGTGGAGCCACCTGATCGCGAGTCTTCGCACTAACGTAACCTATAAAACGAGTTCTTTTCTCATCGAAGCAAACGTGACGACGTTCAACGAGGAGATCTTTGTGCAAAGTTCGTACGATTTCGTGTAATGGGCAAGCACGGAGAAGAAATACGCGTAAGCAGATTTCGAGACGAAAGAATTTTGCTCGTTCGCTTGGGAAACGTAATTCTCGAAAAATTCGAAAATCCGAGAAGAGACTGGGAGAGAGTAGGAGATTAAAAACTTCCTTCGAAACTTTTTTATCCCATTACAGTTTATACTCTTCCAATATGTCCGATAAATTTTGAAAGAAACGACTTTTGTGGAAACAAGAGGAGAGATGTGTAGAGGAAAGGCGAATAAAAGAAGAGGTTGGAGGGAGGGCAAAGTTTGCGCGGAATCGAAGAAAGAGAAAAGAAAAGAAAGAAAAGGAAAGGAAAAGAAAAAGCACGTAGGAGGGCGTTGGTGAAGCCTGGTGGCGGAGCTCGTTGCAGCCTGTTGCTGTGCCACCTCGTCGATGGAAAAGTACGATAATCCGACGAGGAAGGAATGAAAATCGAGACAAGGTAAATAAAGCAGGTTTTTGAACGATTTAATGAAAAACGGTTTAAACCGTTTATGGCCGATTTAATGGCGTTTAATTTTCTTCGGATAAGATTGTCTCTCGCAACGTTTGCAAGATTTAAAAAAAAAGAAATTTCTCGATACTTGGTATCTCGATATCCAAGCAATCCTCGAGTATGCGAAACTGGCGGATCCTTTTAGTGCGGTGCTCGATAAATTAACGCAGGCTCGTATTTGTTAAGAAGGAAAACTTTGTCCTTTCACGGTTGAAAGGAGGAAAAGGAAGCTCGAGGACGCGCTTTGAACGCCAGGATGCCGGGAAAAGAAACCTTTGAGACGAGAAGAGAGACTCGCTCTCTGGAAAGGGCTGAAAAGGGCTTCCTTGATCGACCAGTTTCGATACCATTTTCATGCCTCGCGAAATTTTCGTGAAAATATTTTTTTGCGAAATTTGACCAAATTCAATGATGAGATTCATCGCGGGAAATTCAAATTTCCCAAGAGGAGGATAGAATCGAGTCGTTCTCGCGGGCGAAACTTTGTCGAACTTTGACCATTTACGAACTCTCTTCGAGCTTCTTGTCTCTCGCGCGAAAATTGCAAAATACAAAAACCCAATTTCCACGAATAAACAAATAAACGAGGAGAAAAATAAAAATCCCCCCCCCCAAAAAAAAAGAAATCGAGTCGAAAAGAGAAGGGTGTATTATCCGAAGAATAAATATATCCCATCCATGTTGGAATATCCCGTGTCCAAACAAAAGAGGAGCGTATAACTGGAGAGGAAAGAGGGAGGGACGATTCCCATCCCGTGGCTGAAGGAGTCTGAAACTCGAGCCTGAATGTCGAGAGGTCGATGTCGAGGAAAGGAGGAGACATCGGCTTGTAGACGTGTAAGCGGGGGTGGTTGGTGGCCGAGGGGGGTGGCTCGAGGGCCGGTCGATACAGCCGAAAGTCCAGAGCGCGCCGAGCGGCGCGAAAATTCGCACGGATGGAAATATAAATCGTTCTTCGTTTTCCCCCTCTCTTTCGTTCTGTTTCGCCTCTTTTTTCACGCCTCCCTCGCGTTTATTCGCGGCTGTAACTTTGCTCCTCGCGTGCCGTATAACTTGGAAAAACGTTTTATAGCTACAACGTGTTGTTGCTTTCTTTTCTTTTCTTTTCTTTTTCTTTTTTTTTTTTTACGTGAAGAGTTGGAACGTGGTCGATCATTGGTAGGAAGTCGTTGTTTTTTGTTCGGGACAGTGGATTTAATTTATCCAAGAGTGGTAACGATGGAAAGAAAGAAACGTTGCAATTGGTTTTTCTATTTTGTTATATATTTAATGAAATTGTTGATCCAATAGAATTTCAACGATAATATGAGTAGGAGGAGGTATTGACATTGGGACTGAAAAATGTTTTAAATTGAATTTTTAATCATTTGTCAGAGTGAATTGACAAAACATAATGAAGATATGTATCATGAAGTTTTGTATTATCGCAAAATTTTATATTTTTTCTCTCGATTCTTTCGAAACGGTCGACTATGGATTCTTTTCATTTTTTCTAGCTTTGATTTTTTTGTTTTATTAAATCGAACACGTAACGCTTCGGTTCGGGGAAAAATATCGTCGGGCAAGAAACGAATTCATCGAGGGGCGGATTTAAATATTGCACGTTTCGCAATATTATTAATTAATCGTGCAATTACTTGGACAATTTAGCACTCGATAGTGATCCGTGAATTGAAAGATCGAAACGATAAAATCTTTTTTAACCAGAAACAACAGCTCTTTGTAAAGAAAGAAAGAAAAAAGGTACTGCAAAAATTTGGAATCAAAATTCACTAACAATCCACCATTGATTCAAACGTGCAATATCTCCGTTGAAGGAAAAAATTTGCTTCGAAAATCTCCAGGATGAAAAGATCGATGATCGCGTGCTCGTCTAACCCATCCACGCTTTGTCTCTCCCCTGATTGACTCGCCACCCGTGTCCACCCTCGCTAATGTATATTTAATTGCGAACGTTGCCATCGTCGAGTCAGACTCTATGGAAACGAGAGCCAATAATCGAATAAACCGCGTTAAATTCACCTGTTAAATTAAATTTGTCGTTGGCCAAAAGAGAGTTGGCCCACATGCATACTCGTTCATTCATATATACGCGGATTTTGAAAAATCGGATCGGATCGAGCGACGCGTTTCATTTTCGAAGGAAGAATTTGCCCGATGAAGGGGAGGTTAACGAGCTCGAGGATCGTTCGAGAGTTCAAGCTCGCAATTTTGGTAATTGGAGCTTTTAGCTAGTGTTATTTGCCTTGGGAATCGGGCAACTCGTTGGGAAGTGCTCCGCCTGCCAACTTTTCCGAGTCTAACCTAAGATCGAATCGATTCTTTCGCGAAATCTTTTCTTACATATTCTCCAAATTCTTCAACACTTGAACTTAACAACAATCTTTATTTCAAAGTATCACCAATCGAGTAACAAAAATGTGCCTAGAAATTATATAGGAAATGCAAATGTGGCGAGTTTCTTCAATTTTCCCCAATCTTATATTTACGTTTGCATCGGCCGTTTCAATTTAGACCCGTGTTGTTCTCTTATCGGAGGATCGATCGATCGATCCGAGGATTGTTCGCACGTGTTACGCGGCCGGCTAATCGGATTTACATCGGGTCGATGTTTCGGCTAATTATTGTCTTAATTAAAACGTGGCCTGGGACGATGGAGAGGGGGAGGATGCTCGCTCGTAGGAGGAAATGGGATGGCAACAACGCGTAACAACAACAACAACAACACACTGGTCGAATATTAGGATCCATTAATGCAATGCGCCCGTTCGTTTCGCGCCTTTAAACCCCTCCTCCCTGATTAACAGATATTAAAACGAGGCGATTTTCGTCCTAATGGCGATCCTCCATGGTGATCAACGAGTTTAATAGGATCGATATTTTAGAGGCGCTCACGTGTGCATTAAGTTAAGTGCAATTTGTTTTCTCGATAAAACGCCCGTTGTTGCGCTGTTGTCTTTTTTTTTTTTTCTTCTTTAGCGAGATGGCCGGTTGAAATTAATTTCTCCCTTCTTTTTTTTTCCCTCTATTGATCGATCGAGACGAGCGTTGTTTTTGAGAAGTTTCCTCGATATCGAAATTCTGCATGGAGGATGAAATTGATGCATAGTTGAGGATGGAAAAATGTAATAACGAGGTGGATTAGCTTTTTAAAATTATTTTTTCGCTCGTATCGAAACGGAATAGGGGGTGGATTGTGGGTATCTTTGATTTTGGTTTAATTATTTCGTTTTAATCTCGTAAAAATGTAACGAGGTTTTAATCTTGTTACAATTATTTCATTCTTATCGACTTTTTTTAGACGAGGGAGTATAAAGTTTGCTGGACATAGATGTAATCGGGGAAAAATGTGTAATGAAACGGTGGGTAGTGAATATCTGGCCGTCTTTAATTTTATTAAAGATTATTTTGTAGGATCGATATCGATCCATTATGGCCATCTTTGATTTTATCCTAATTATTTCCTTCTAATCACTATTTTATTCTATTTTATTTCATTACAGTTGTTTTATTCTCATCATCCCTGGTGATCCAGAGACCTATTCTGGATATATTATAATGATGGTGGATCACGAATATCTTTAATTTTATTCATTATTTTGAGGATGATCGATATCGATATTCTAGAACGAAATTGATGCATTTTAATTGAGAAGTGGAGAGGATCGATTATGGGTGTCGTATCGAATCTGACATTTTTTTTATTTTATTACACTTGTTTTATTCTCGTCGACTGGTGGATGATCGATGATCGTATTCTCGAAATGGTAGTGGATCTCTTCAATTTTATTTCATTATTTTGCAGAGGGGGAGTTGGGATCGATTAAACGTTAATTAATTATGCTTATTAAACGAAGTTGAGCGGATTACGGGAATAGATTCGTAGGAAGATAATATTCTGAATTAATTCGTCTGGGTCCGCGATAAGTCTTCTCGAAAGTACTTCTCCCTCTTTTATTATAAAATTTCCCTTCTCGTTAATTATAAACAGTTTTATACACGAGGAAATTTTTCCATGAAAAATTCCATTTTGAAATAATTCGTAACTCACCTCCTAAAAAAGAAGAGCGAAAAGCGTTTCGTTTTCGTTCTACGATATTGACAAACGTTCCATATAACGATTCTAATCTGAAATTTTAAAAAAAAGAGAAAGAAAGCCACCGTAAATTCGAGCCATCGTTCACGCGAAATAAAATATCACAAGAACTTTCATATTTCACGATCGAACCCATTCCAACCCATTCCTTCCCTTTCTTCGTTAAATCAAAATTTATATTTCACCACTATCCTTCCGTTTAACCCTCTCCCCAATCGCAACACCCATTCATCCAATTATCGTTCGCCCTAAATCTTCTACAATGTGTTGTTCCATAAATTTCCAAATTTCGAACGAAGCAGCCACCTTTTGGAAGCGCGCCTTTCACGAAACCCTATCGAAACGTCTTAGCAAATTTAACAACCGAATTCCTCGTGTGAAAACCCTGTCGATCCTTTTGAAGAAATTATTGGGGGAAAGGAAGAATATAAGTAGATTCATTGTTTCGACTTCGAAACAAAGGGAAGATTGTTCTGCTCGAATCATTTTTATATGTGTGCGTTCATTCATTCCTCGCAGTGTTCGCAATGTTGCGTGACGTTTTTCTCCTTTTTTGAAGGAGAATTTTCCAACGAAATTATTGTCGAACCGCGTTTCTTTTTCAATTATTCGAATATTAATTTGAATATTTCGATTATTGTTTATTATTTTGTTTCTCTTTTGAAGCATCGTTTAATCTTGTTATTGCAGGTTCGTTTTGAAAAAAAGTATCGAGTGTAATTTGTAATTCGTCTCGCGAATGTTTGAAAGGAAGAAAGGAAAGGGAAAGGAGGATGGTTGGAGGAAAAAGGTTCTCTATCGCGATACGCTTTTAAAAATCGGGGGACCAGTATGTGGAATATGGAGTTTATGGCTGACCACATCTACTGAACCGCGGATGATAAATGCCTTTCCAAATTATCGTACCGCCTTATCTTCGATCGACGTTCCAATTTTTATGCCCTTCTGCCTCCCATTTCCAATCCTTTGTTCCTTCTCTCTCTATCCTTTTTTTCTTTTTTTTTTTTAACTTCTTCCAGATAGGAGAATTTATGAAGGTTAATACGCTTTTCATCCTTTACGATCCTTTTTTCTTTCTTTCCCAAATCCGATTATATATATTCTCGTTACATCTTAAATCTCTTCGTTTTAAATTAGAAGAATAATCAAGGAGTCGAAGATGATCGTTTATTAACAAAAATTAATTATAATTAATTATTTTGCAGAAAATTAATAACCAGTTTCAAAGATTCCCCTACCATCCCCCCTCCCCCCCTTTTTATCTGTTTCGATCAATGGCCAACACTCGAGCTTCATACTCTTCTCTCGTTCCAGGCGAAGCTAGAAACGAAAGCGTTGAAAGCGAAGAGGCCGGGATTCACGGACGAGCGGTACAACGAGACGAGCTATTACGTGGAGAACGGTGAGCGCATCTTTCTATTTCTAAAATATTTGAGAAATTCCACGCCTCGTGTTGCCATTCGATCCGATCGATGGGTTTAAGAGTCGGTGTAATTATTTTATCAGATGTATAGAATCGTATAAAATCAGTGAAGATAAAATTCCAAAATTTTTGCACAATATCGAAAGAGATTGAGCTCATATCGGCCAGTATTGGTTAGTTTCCTTTCGAAACTTTGGATGTAAAGCGACCTTGAAATTTGATACAATTCGTTTTTTCTTTCAGAAGGAAAAATTGGATTGGCTCCTCTTTCACTCGATTTCAAAAAAAAAAGAAAAAAAACGGATGAAAGTCTCGGTGTTTGTCGAGAAGAATATTTCAATTTTTTTCATATCCTTTTTTTCACATCCAGCTGCGTGGAAAAGTCGCGTGGCTTCCGGTGGATAACTCGATAAAGCGGGGCCAGGGTCGGTGAAAACGAAAACACGGTCGAAAGAGCTTCTCGACGACCACCCCCTTTATCCCCGTTCGATTTCGTTGGCATTGTGAAGCCGAGCAGGAGACACGGATCATTGTTCGAATCGCGGCCATCGCGCTGGATTATCCGCGATTATCTCTTGGCGAACAGAGAGAGAGAGAGAGAGAGAGAGACTGTGAAAGCTGCAGTTACTGTTGTAAGGTCGAATGCAGGTGAACCGATTAACGAGCATCGTCGTTTCCTCGTTTAGGAAACACGGGAGAAACGTTTGCATTTAAAACGTTTTCTCGAAATCGTTCCCCACTTTTCGAGCGTGGCCGGATTTTTATCCGTGGAGGAATTTTATTTATTTATCGAGAGACGCGTTTCGTTCTGTTCGTTGTAAATAACGAAACTCAAAATATCTTGGATGATGTAACTTGATACGACGATCTTCGTGATAGCCAGCCAAAAATATAACCGCCATCTGAATTTTATAAATACAATTAAATTCAACTGCATTCACAAATAATTTGTAGCTAGTGGTTATCACTCTTCATTTTAATCATTAACATTTCCCCGAGCAAATGTAACCGCCATTAGCGACGTCAAACTCTCTGATCAGTTGAAACGAGTGAGTAAAGTAGATTGAAATTCATGGAGAAATCGTTGATCTTGATAAATTATTTCAAATCACATCTCTTTACGTCGCTTCTACAACTCTGTGAAAGTGTTCCTCTTGGCCCGGTAAAGATCAAGCGTTCAAGAGTAAAAAATTCATGGAACGAATCACCGTATCGTCAAATTAAAATTACTTGTTCGATGAATCGTTGGTGGAAAATCGGCAACCTGTCACCGTTAATTAAGAAAGCCTCGGTTCTCGATCAATCAATCGATCCTAACCTCAAACCTCCTACGCGTCACTCCTGCTTTCGTCCCACTTGGAACGGATCTTTCACTTTTCGCTTGAAAATTCGATCGAAACGCGTCGCTCTAAACGAATCGAGAGTAGAAACAAGCCGACATTTATCGAACGTCAATACGTCGTTCTCCGTAATTAAAGTTGTAGTTGCTGCTGGTCGCGGCGATGCTGGCTCCCTCTGCTCCCATCGCATTATCGACATTCCATGGGAATTGTTGGATAGACGAACGCTGATTGGCCGTGCTCATTAGCGGAAGCAACGTTTATCCGTCGGTAACGAAGAGCCGAATAACATTATGGGAGCATCATGGAAGGGAAAATTGGAAAAAAGTACCACTTCTTGGTTGATTTTCTTTTGATATTCCAGAGAAAAAGAAAAAAAAGATCGATTTCACGGGGATTCTTCTTAACGATGACGAACGTTGTAACTCGAGATAACGATATCTTGAATCTTTCTTTCGATTTTATCGAATATCGAGATTTGCGATTAACGCGATTCGTCGAATAAACGAAGCGTGAAGCTTTTCATAATCGAAGGAAGATTACGATCCTCGACTCGGCGAGTCGAAAATAATTTTACAAATGCAAAAATAAAATTAATACGAATGAAATTTCTCGAATAAAATTGTCATCGATTATTATTTATCGTATGGACGCGATTGTTATACAGGTAGACGAGCATTTTAGCATGATTGATATTTCCAAGGATTGGGAACGTGAAATTTCAGTTAGATCAAAGATGGATTCGAGTGGCTAAATATTTCTGCTCCTATCTTACTCGAGGAATCCTTTAATCTTCTTTCTTCCTTTCGGGGAAGGATAACTTTTGCCACCACTTAGAACCAAAGTTTCGCCAACTTTCTCTCAGACTTCTCGCGAATCTTACGGATTCAAAAAGGAAACGATAAACCCAGTACGTTCTTCTATTTCGAACCGATCTGTAGGATATATAGACCCTTCCTCACGATCTTTCCATTAAGAGATTGCAAAATGGCCGAAAGTCGAAATTTTTCAACGTAAGTCATGTTCCAATTATTCGAATGTATTTTCCCAATTTCGTAGCTAAGAATATTTCAAATTTACAGCATACGATGTCGAAAGAAAGTCAGGGGGATCTAATTAGAAGATAGATCGACTTTTAAATTTTTCAGAAAAATCCGCTTAACCTTCGTTCTTCGAGATTTTTAATTCAATAACGAAAAGTAACACGGCTGGCATTCACTTATATATACGTAAAAAGAAAATTAATTGATAGATGATTAAAAATACCATTTCCAAGGAACATCCTTCGAGCATCCATCCTCGCGTCAAAATCGGCCAGTTCTACATCGATAGTCTCCAACTTCGTTATTACCATTCGCAGCAGTCGAGAATCGGCTCATAACAAGAGAGGAGGAGGGGAGGAGGGGTTGGCCGAGAGTCGAAAGACGTGGCACGCTCGAAGGCACACGTAACAAGAATACGGAGGTTGGCTAGATCGCTGGAAAGAGGATGAGAAGGATCGAGAAGCGGGGGGGATAGGAGGAGGAGGGGGTGGAGAAATCGATCGAATATTTAGAGCTGGTGCGGCGTATCGACAACCGATATCTGCTCCACATTCGAATAATAGACTCGCACGGGTGACGACGTGCCGGTGGGGCATCCTCCAGCTGCTCCTCGAACGAAACAAAGACCTATTAATGCCACTCGAAAGACACACACAGATATGCACACACACACAATGTCTACACGCTCTCTCTCTCTCTCTCTCCAATTCGATGGACGTCCTCCCTTAACGCGAGAAACGCGCATTCCATTACCGGAGACTCGTGACACCACCACCGATACCCCGCCAGAGTCCTGTTTCTCGTATCTTCTCTCCCCTCCTCACCATACCGCACTCTTTCGACGAAGCGTAGCCTTCTTGGACACGGTTATATCGATATTCCAACAAGTAGCTCCTATAACGTTCCATTATCGCGTTCTTTCTTTTCTTTCCATTCCATTAATCCACGTAACCGTCTTGAACCGACGGTTATGCATTATACCAAACAAGTATGCATCCTCTTGCGGTTTTCTCGGTGTATATTTTTTCGGTGACGTGGTTACCACAAGTGTACACTGTTTACTGGCGGAAAGAAGTCTCGTGGAACGGCACAAGGGCAACAGGGGTCCCGCCTCTATCCCCACTTTAGACGCTTTGTTGACGATCTTGACACCACGTACCTAGTATGTATTTAGCAGTGTAGAGGAGTTATTAATTTGAATATTTAAAATCGTAAAAATTATTTTCATTTACAAAGTTACGTCGTTTTGGATTAGCATGCGTGACAAATATACCACATGCGCGTGAAAATATAGGAGTTTCTTTCTTTCAAATTAACTTAGTTTCCAGTACGTATATCTTTTCTCCCAGTGTATCGCTATTACTCTTTCGGTTACGTATGGCTTGAACTTGGCTAGAAATATATATATATATATATATATTTCCAACATCTAGTATATACATCTTTTCTCGTAGTTCTAACTCTTTTTCATTGGTGTAGGTTTGAACACGTTATATAGATATTCCAACAAGTGTATATCTCCGCGGGTTCTGCATTGCTCTCGCATTGTTCCGTAGTGACGTCGTAGTCTCTTGGACGCGGTTTATACCAATATTCCAACAGATATATATATATATATATTCCAATTGGTATTATATCTTTTCTCGTAACTGTATTACTCTCGTTTCTTCGATGGCGTAGTTTTATAAATATAGTTGTATCGATATCCCAACAAATACGTATCTCCTTCTCTCACAAGTTTGCTCACGCATTTCTTTTTCAGTGACATATATAGTCTCTTGGATATCGGTTACACTGATATTTCGAGTAAGTAACTCTGTATTGTTTCGACATTTTTCCCGATATTTAAACAGATATCTATCCAGTTTTTCCAGTATGTTTTATGTTGGTTGTACGCAGCGATTGTCCGCAGTCTTGGATAACAAAGAGGATCGAAGTTCGATGCGTATCTTGGATGGAGCATGGATCGATGGGTTTCAAAGGCGCTTTGAGTTTCATTTGATCTGCGAATTGCATGGATTGTCGAGTTGGCTTATGATTATCGTTAACGAGATGAATGGGGAAGCCTTTTGAGAGGGAGAATTTGTATCGATTGGTGCACATTTACATGTGCGTTATTAGAAGGATAAACAAGTTTGACCGGTGTAACAGCATTGTAGAGTATTCGGTCAGATTAGAAGAGCCAAGGATTTTTGCCGAACGAGATAAGGTTTCATGGCTTTCCACCACCTAATCCTTTCTAAATCTTTCGCTTCTACGATTGTTAGGATTATCAAAAATCTAACCGCATCTCTACATCTGTAATACTATTTGCCAACATTTAATGACAATTTCTTCAATATCCTCTCCAATCGTTATATCTGGCAACGATTTTTTTAATTTCTCTTTCTATCAACTCTTTCCTTAAGAAATTTGACTTCGCTTCGAATCGTAGATCGCGGAAGAACCTTCCTCCGTTATCCGTGCCAGGTTGATACGGCAACGGGCCTCGATCGTCGGCGGGTACACAACGACGTGGATGCAGGGAGGGGAGGGGGGGGGATGGGTGGGTGGGGCCACTACGTGATTCAAATCTAGATCCGATCCTATCTCAAGT